TTGACATTGTCATCATCATCATCATCATCATCATCATCATCATCATCATCATCATCATCATCGTCATCATCATCTTAATCATACCCCTCCTCCTCCCCCTTCTCCTCCGAACTGCAGCGTCGTAGCCTTGCACGCGGCCTGGGTCTGGTGCTGCGGCGCGCAGGCCGGAGAGGTTTGAGCACGATGGGACGGCCGCGTTCGAGGAGGGATCGTCAGGGAACCCGAGCAAAGCCCGCGCTCGTCTCTCGGGCTTCCCAGCCCAACAGGTCACCCTAAGAGGCCTGCAGGGCCCTCCAAGACGCCTCTGATCCACAGCCCCTGCACGGTGGCGGAGAAGGCCGGGAGGCCGCTAGATAATAGTTCATGAGAGCCGTAACCAGGCAGGCGATGTTCAAGATCGTGATCTTCATTACGTCGGCCTGCTGCGAGGACATGTAAGCCCATTTGGTGTACTTCGTGATTGACTTCGTTTGCTCGTACAAGGGAGTTCCCTTCTCGAAGACCTCAATTGCTTTCGGGGCCACCTCAGAGCAGATGAGCAAGAGTCTAACACCAACAAATTTCATGTTGGCATCATACTCACCTCGGGACTTCTTACCAAGCTTGTCCGAAATGATGAATGTCCAAGTCATGATGACCATGTTGAATCCGCCACCGCGCTTACGGCTGTTGGCCTGTGCGTGTCCCATGCGAAAACATCATGAGGACCTGCCAACGCATCGAGCCCAACATGCTGCCATGTATTGAGCCATACGCATGTGTTGCCCCACAATCGGGCAGAAAACAATGTCAACAACGGAAGTTCGAGCAGAAGGCACCGTGCCAGGTACCCGCCATTGACGCCTCCCCGCCCTCCATGTACCCTCCCTCCCTCAGCCAGAGCGGGGTAAAGGATTCGCGCAGCAGCGCAATTGGATATGCTAAGAATAGTCAGGAATAAGAAAGTGATGCCAATGAGGCCTACGAAGGCATTCAGCAGGTCCCCCAGAAACTTTACGTCTGGGTCGTCTATGTCATAATTCCTACTCAGTCTGACGTGCGTAACCAAACATATGCCAATAACGACGACCGCTCGCAAAATACCTGCAGCAATGTAAATCCAAATCCCCAAAAAGCCTCCATAACGGATGAGGCGTTTGTACTCTCTGGCTAGCTTCTGCATGGTCTCGGTTTCATGACCCTTGATGATGGCAGTGTGCATGAGCAAGGAGCTAATTATTCGGGTAAAACAATAAATCGCTGTGAACTGAGTAAAGATTGCGGTGTGAAGGCTGATTTGGACGAACAGGGTCTCCAGCCCCTGAGCTGGCAGGAAATGCGTCACCTGATACTCTGGCGCCGTTCCGATCATGATCTCCCACACGCTGATGTTCGCGAGCATCAACTCTATACAAAACACACCCGGGAGCACCACTATCCACATCAGCCAGTTGACCCGCCTCGGAAGATGCCAAGAATACGCCTTCCATAGCTCGTTCTTCCTGGATGCTCGGTGCGATGGGATGACCAACAACACCCAGCAATGGTACATGCTGATCAGGACTACCGCTAATCCTGACAGCTGGCCGAATATGCTGAGCACCTTAATAGGAAGTTTGATGTTGAGGCTCTCCTTGAAGTCCATAAAATTCCTATCCGGGCATTTTTCGTGTTTCGGACATCCGTCCTGCTCTAACTCTGTAAAGTTGTTGAATATGATTTGTAGGTTCTCGTCTATCTGCCACTGGGGCACGAACACGCAGTCCTTGATGAAGATGCCCAGCGAGACCATCACAAAGAAAAAAGCCCCCGCGAAGAAGAGAGTGTACCACTGCACCACAACGGCGCCGCGCCGGAGCAGACGGTGCAGCAGGACCTGCACCCGCTTTCGCCTCGAGATCTGGCGCCATAGCGCCACACCCAGCAGGAAGAGAAAGAACCAGATCGAGATTCTGTGGGGGTGCATGCGGGCGCGCAGGGCGGCCTGGATCCAAGACCTGCGACGTCGTGCCTTCACTCATGACGCGAGCCCAGGAACTCTTGACGCGGTCCCCGGGATCGGCTTCTCGTCGCAGGCTGTGAACTTGCTCGTATCGGGTCTGGAGAGTCGCCCCCGAGGCCCAACCAGAAAAATGTTGCGTCATCTTGCGCGACGCCTGGACGTCCTTCGACCTCTGACGACTCGACTGTGCTCGAGGTCGCTGGCACCTCTTGACCTCTCGACCCCTTCCCTGCGGGTTTTTCTGCGTCCTGGGTTGTTCCTGATGGTCCCCAATCCCACAACCATTTGACGCATCCTGGGTGCCTCCTCCTCATCCTCCTCCTTCTCCTACTCGTACTCCGCCTCCTCCTCACCCTACTCACCCTACTCACCATCATTATCACCACCATCCTCGTCCTCATCCTCCATCAGTATCCTCATCCTCCTTCTCCTCCTCTTCCTCCTCCGCCTCCTCATCCTCATCATCATCATCATCATCATCATCATCATCATCATCAGCAGCAGCAGCAGCATCATCATCATCATCATCATCATCATCATCATCATCATCATCATCATCATCATCAATATCAGCATCAGCATCAGTATCAGCATCAGCAGCATCATCAGCATCATCATCAGCAGCAGCAGCAGGATCAGCATTAACATAATCATCAGCAGCAGCAGCATCATCATCAACATCAGCATCAGGATCAGCCTTAACATCATCAGCAGCAGCAGCATCATCATCATCAGCAGCAGCAGCATGATCAGCATCATCGGCAGCAGCATCAGTATCATCATCAGCAGCATCATCATCATCGTCATCGTCATCATCATCAACATCAGCAGCAGCATCATCATCAGATTCATCATCATCATCATCATCATCATCATCATCATCATCTGCATCGCATCATCATCATCATCTGCATCATCATCATCATCATCATCATCATCACCATCATCATCATCAGCATCAGCATCATCGTCATCAACAGAATCATCAGCATCATCAACATCACCATCATTATCAGCATCAGCATCATCAACAGTATCATCACCGCCACCACCATCACCACCATCACCAGCATCACCACCGCCCTCATCATCATAATCAGCATCATCAGCGTCATCATCATCATCATCAGCATCAGCACTCTCTCCATTGTCATCATCATCATCATCATCATCATCAACATCAGCATCATCGAAATCAGCAGCAGCAGCAGCATCACCACCACCATCACCATCATCAGCATCAGCATCATCATCAGTACCTATACGACCACCCTTCAGGTGATAAGGAGGTTCGGGGGGCGCAGGAACCAACGTCTCACTCGATCGGTCTCACTATCGATCTCACTATCGATCTCAGTATCGGTCTCGCTCGATCGATCTCCCTCGATCGATCTCACAGTCGATCTCACTCGATCTATCTCACAATTGATCTGACTATCGATCTCACAATCGATCTCACAATCGATCTCACAATCGATATCACATTCGGTCTCACTATCGATCTCACTATCGATATCACAACCGCTCTCACAATCAACGTCATCATCATCATCATCATCATCAACAACAACATCAACATCAACATCATCATCACCAACATCATCATAATCGGGACACCGTCCTCATCATCAACACCAACATCATCATCATCATCATCATCGGTCATCAACATCATCGGGACACCACCATCATCATCATCATCATCATCATCATCAATCATCATCATCATCATCATCATCAGCATCATCATCATCAGCAACATCGGGACACAGTCATCGTCATCATCATCATCAGCAGCAGCATCATCATCGGGACACCATCATGATCACCATCGTTATCATCATCATCATCATCATCATCATCATCATCATCATCATCATCATCATCATGATCGGGACACCATCATCATCATCTCATCCTCATCATCGACATCATCATCATCAGCATCATCAACATCATCATCAGCATCATCATCATCGTCATCATCTGGGCACCATCATCATCATTACCAACATCAGCATCAACATCATCATCATCATCATCATCATCATCATCATCACAATCATCATCATCACCATCGGGACGCCATCATCATCAACATCATAATCATCACCATCATAATAATCATCATCATCATCGGGACGCCATAATCATCATCAACCTCATCATCATTAACATCATCATCATCGGGACACCATCATAATCAGCATCATCAACATCAACATCATCATACTCATCATCATCGGGACACCATCATCGTCATCATCATGATCATCAACATAATCATCATGATCATCATCATCCTCATCATCGGGACACCATCAGCATCATCATCATCATCATCGACATCATCATCATCATCATCATCATCATCATCATCATCATCATCATCATCATCATCATCATCATCATCATCATCGGGACACCATCATTCATCATCATCATCATCATCATCATCATCATCATCATCATCGTCATCATCATCATCATCATCAGCATCATCATCATCAGCATCACCATCGTCATCATCATCATCTCATCATCATCATCATCATCATCATCATCATCATCATCATCATCATCATCATCATCATCATCATCATCATCATCATCATCATCATCATCATCATCATCATCGCGGGACACCGCGGGACACCGGCGGGACACCGCGGGGCACCGCGGGACACCGGGACACCGGCGGGACACCGCGGGCCACCGGCCGCCCGGAAGGGAACATTTGGTCCGGCCGCGCCTCAGCCACACGGGACTTTCGCGGGACACCGGCGGGACACCGCGGGCCACCGGCCGCCCGGAAGGGAGACATTTGGTCTGGCCGCGCCTCAGCCACAGGAGACTTTTTCTCGCCCGCCCACGCAGTTTCGCCTCGCCCGCCCGCACGGCACGCACGAACACGAAACCGAAATCGATTTCCCGGTAGGGGGGCTCTCCGTTCCACTTCGATCTCACCCCCTCACCTCCGATCATGACCATCATCAGAATCATCATCATCGTCAGCATCATCAGCATCATTATCAGTATCAGTATCAGTATCAGTATCATCATCATCATCATCATCATCATCATCATCATCATCATCATCATCATCATCATCAGCAGCATCATCAGCATCATCAGCATCATCATCGTCATCCTCGTCGCCGTCGTCGTCGTCGCCCTCATCCTCTTCCTCATCCTCCTTCCTCCGTGGATACCAAAGATGGCCAAAACAGAGATGGTGCCAATTTTTGGAACCCCTCAAGGTCTGGAACCCCCGACCGAAGGCTTCGTGCACTCCTCGTCCTCGGCCTCGCCGCCGTCGCCGAGGCTCACCTTGGAGGCCCCTCGAGGTCCCCAGATCTCTCCGGCGGTCCCCAAGAGGGCCCCTGGAAGCCCCTGGTCCCTGGAAGACTCGAGAAGATCCAGGGAGGCCTTGGACGGAAAGAGTCTCCTCCTCCTCCTCCTCCTCCTCCTCCTCCTCCTCCTCCTTTTCCTCCTCCCGCTCCCCCTCCTCCCCGACATCCACCGATATGATTTCAATCCGCGGCCCCAGAGGTCCCGACCGTTTTCCCGAGGGAATGTTCGCCGCGGGTTCTCTTTCGATGTTCCCGAGACCGAGGAAAAGGCCGCCCCCGAAAGCCGAAATCAAGGAATGAACACCAGATGAACACAAAAAGATGAGATCGCCGGGGATCAGGGGTCTCCTTCTGCGCCTCCCCCCCCGGGTGGAAAGTTTGGGCCTGGGTGGCTTTTGACCGCTGGGCAGGGGCAGGGTACAAATACAGTGGAGGCTTGTCAACAAGAAACCCTCCAAAAGAAATCCGACCATGAAACCCCAGGACGTCCATTGATTTTTGGTGTGGGAACGTCACGCTTTCCATCGCAAAACCATCGAAACCCAAGAACCCCAGGGCACCCTGGATGCAAGCAGGGTGTTCCTTGGCATGGGCCTCCGCTGTACTGCCCCAGCTGGTTCAAAATTGTAGCTTTACGCTCCATCCTTGCGGCCAGCTGCAAATTGGGGTCCCAGCTGGCGCTGCGGGGCACGATGTATTCCCCCTGCCGAGCCGAACCCCCCCCCCCGGGCCAGAAACCAAACGACGCCACCCCTCCTGCGACCCACCGATGTTGAGAGTTGAGGCGCTGGCCCACCCACGACCGCCTCCGACCCACCTGGGACACTTCCCTCACCGCCGACCTGCCTGCGACCCAGCGGGTCGTAGGCGGGACGCTGTCGATTGGTTCTTGGTCGATCCCTCGTGTAGGGCCGAAGGGCCAGGTCTGCAGACACCAAGGAGCGGGCGTCAAGGGGTGCGACGCCTCTGCGCGCATGAACCGCGAGCTTTGACCGCCCCCACTGGATGCACTCCTCGACGCACGCCCTGGATGCACCCCCCTTGACGCCACCCACCTTGGTGCACCCCTCGACGTCCCCTATGTTGGTGGTCCTGCAGAGGAGGGCGCTCTCTGACCCTCCGCCCTCCTCGATCGATCCCCCCACCTCGGGGCCGGAACCCTGGTCTGGACACCCGAAATGGGTACGGAAAAATGGGTACAATGCCTAACAGCAAATGTTGTCCCGAACCAACAGCGGCCGCTGTTGGGCAGGCGGCCTCCTGTCTCAAATGGACACAGGCTGCGGCGGCGCGGACAGCGAGTCCTGTTCAAAATGAGCAGGAACTGCTGTTGGGCATCGTACTCCGGATCTCATAACAATGGGGGGGGGTCTGCTTTTGGGGGGGGTCCAACGGGCTTCGTCAAACACAATTGTGGGGGGCTCTCGATGTTGCATCCTCGGTTGCCGGACTGGGGGGGGTCTACTTGGGGGGGGGTCCTAGACCGGCCGCCAGACACTCTTTTGACCCCCCCCCTGTATCATGAGATTTGGAGTGCCCCTTCTCTCTGTGCCCATTGCGTGCGTGCAGACCCGGGGCCAGGCTCGGATCCGCCGCCCCCAGCTGCAGGGAGCCACGACGGGCGCCCCGCCGCGCGCGGGGGCGGCGCACGGCCGCCCCCCGATCCGAGCCGCGGGGGGCGGCCCTCGAGCCGAGGCGGCTGCCGCGAGGGGCCCCGGGGCGCGCTCCCCGCGGGGGCCCATGGCCTGCGGGCGGTCGGCTTCGGCTTCGGTGCCGACCGAACCCACCACAACTGTCCGACGACGACGACGACGACGACGACGACGACGACGGCGGCGACGGCGACGACGGCGACGACGACGACGACGACGACGACGACGACGACGACGACGACGGCGACGACGCGGCGGCGGCGGCGGCGGCGGCGGCGGGCGGCGGAGGCGGCGCGCTGCGCTGGCTGGCTGCTGCGCTGGGCGCTGGCTGGCAGGGGGGACGCGGCGGCTCCCGGCGTCGATGGCGCCGCCGCCGTCTCCGGTGCCGCCCGCGCCGACGATGGTGTGGATCTCGTCGATCATCAAGATGATGTTCCGCTTGGAGTCCAGCACCTGCGATCTGAGCGTCGCTTATAACCGAGCCAGATCCCCACTCGCGTGGCCTTGGCCCCGCTGGCCGACGATCCCTTTTTTTTGCCCTCGGCGCATCGATGCAGGTCGGGAAAACAGACATGCATGTGAGGCTCAGAGCACCGCAGAGGCCTCCGTGGAAAAGCAGATGCTGATCCACGGTAGGGAACCACAGAACTACGGTGGTGATGCTCTCGCTGGCCATTCGGGGCGGTCAGAACAGACCGGAAGAGAATGGGGGACTCCCATGATTAAGCAGCGCCAGGCTGCCTGCTGCCTCAGACACATCTTAGCTCAACACCAGCTTTGTGTGGGGAGGAGTGGCCAGGGCAGCGCGGCAAAATGCCTGCACGACTAAAAAACAGCGGGCGTGGGGCGCGCAGGAGGCAGGCGGACGGGGCGCCCTGCCTGGCGCACCGCAGCTTCACTGGCTCCCGTAGGGCGCTCAGTAGCCGAATGCTCTGGTGGTGGCATCCAAGCACGCCATATAGTCCTCGGGCTTCATCAGCGGGTGGTACGCCGGGAAGTTCTCGCCGTCGCACGTGGGCTTCCACTTCTTGTTCTTCTTCTCGGCGGCTGGCCGGTCCGCCTCGCAAGTTCCGTCCAGCTTGGTGCCGAATGCCTCTCCACGGGAGACGCCGTTCGTATCCAAGCAAACCTGCGCAAATAGATCCTCACCCATGGGGCCGTACTTGCCTCCGTCAATGCCCGTTTTCCAATCGACGGTGTCCTTGCACGAGGCCATCGACCCCAGGAGCGTCTCGAAGGCCACCGCCGAGAAGATCTCCAAACTGCCGAACCACCCGTACTTCACGCCTTTGCAATTCTCGAGGTAGAGGCCGTTGGCCGGGACCACCTTGCTAGATAGGTAAGACACCAAGCGGCTCGGCACGAACACCGCGTCTGGATCGACCTTCACGACCCAGTTGGCGCTCTTGTACACGCCGGCTTCCCCAATTGCCTTCCAAGCCTGGTAATGCAAGCCCGTATTCAGCCAGGTGCCGGTCTCCTCTCTCTTCGCGAAATGGAAATCCCCGTCGGCATCCTCCAGCTTCACGAGCGGAGCGCCGGGCCCGACCTCCCCCTCCTTGTCGCTGAATACTCCCCAATTCTCGCACCCGAAGATGCTGGTCTTCCTGCCGTATGCTCCCTGGAGCAGCTCCAAGTCGTACATCTTCTTCGTGCTGCCGATGTCCTGCATAACCACTGCGAAGCAGTACAATGACGGACCGTACCAGTCGGCATCCTTGAGGATCGGGTCCATGATCGGTTGCGTCTGAACGCACAGCTGAGAGGCACTGGGAGTGCAATTCTTCAGGCACTTGCCCTTCCCCGGCTTGGTTTCGAAGCAGTTCAGGCCCGCAACGTTGCAGCACCCCAGGCTGTAGCAGTCGTCGTCCGTGCTGGCGCACTTGTCGCGCGGCGGCAGGGCTACTGTCTGCACCTTGCTCTGGAGGCGGTCCGTGTCCGAGGCCGCCCCGTGCAGCGTCAAGCGCGCTGCCCCCGCGCCTGCGCCGGCCAGGAGCAGGGCGGCCACGCCTGCACCACCCGCCGCCCGCCAGGGCGAACGCCGGGCGCGAGCGTCCTGGACCAAGAACTGCTCCGACCCGCTGGCCTCGCCGCCGACCTCCGCGAGCTCCATGCGCTCCGTGGCCGAGGTCATCGGTGGCAGGTTGGGATGTGGCTGGGAGTGCTCGCAGATCAGGCCGGCTGCAGACAGCGCTTGAGCCAAATGGCTACGGACTGGCCGACGATCCCGAACCGGGGTGGGGGGATGGTGCGGCCGAGGTGCCGTGGCCCAGTGGGGATGGGGATCGGCTTCTCTGGATGGGGTATTCATCGAGGGGGGGGTGAGTAACCTCCCGACTGAGCCTGCCCAATCCCGCCCCCTCCGTCCTCTGCCCCCCTCCTCCTCCTCTTACTCCAAACCCCCCTCCACCCGTGCCGACAGCGCGTGCCGAATCCCCCGAGCGGATTCGAGGGGGGGCGAGTATTGTCCCATCCAGAGCAGACGGTACTGAATTTCGGATTGGCGCATGGAACAGGAACGGGGCCTTCTTGGAACGCTGTGGGTCGTCTTGAGGGTCTCTGGGGCCGTCTTGGGACCCGTCTTGGGGCCGTCTTGGAGCCTTCTGGGCCCGTCTTAGGGCCCTCCTAGGGGCCTCTTGGAGAGGCCCTGATGGGGGCTTCCGGGGCCGTCCTCGGGCTGTCTTGCAGGCCTCCGTAGCCGTCTTCCGCCATCGGGGGCCAAAACAGCAACACGGAAAAGGAAACCCTTGAAAACCAAGGAGCAATCATTGAAGCGTGCCTCCTGGGAGCCCCCAGAGGAAGTCATCTTGGAGCCCTCTTGCGTAGTCTTCGGAGCTTCTTGAGCCGTCTTGAGGCGATCTGTTGCAGTCTTGCGGCCCGTCTGGGGGCATCTTAACTAAGCCTATGTAAGACCCGCTTGGAGCCATCTGTACCGTGTTGGAGGGGCCTTCAGACCGCTTTGGAAGCCATCTTGGTCAATAACGGAGCCGTCTTGGGAAGAGAAAACTGACAGAACGCACATGTCATGCGGCCTTCCAGGTGGCCAGCGAATTGAGCCGAAGGCCACAGGGAACTTACGCACCCCACTACAGATCGTAAACGCCTGCGGCAAACCAGCGCCGCCTTATGCCTCTTGGAAGCGCTTATGCGGCCGAACGTTGGACCAGAGTCTGGCCAAGATATTGGACTATGAGTTCATCCAGCCGCTGTGGGACCTTTGGTGGAGCACTTGGGTGAGTAAGGGTCAGACGAGGAGGGGGAGGACGAGGAGGAGGAGGAGGAGGAGGAGGAGGAGGAGGAGGAGGAGGAGGGGGAGGGGGAGGAGGTGGAGGAGAGCAGGAAGGAGAAGGGGAAAGATGAGGAGGCATCTTGGGGCGCCTCCTGGTGGTTTCCTGGCGGATTTGGGGGAACCTCTCGGGGACCTCCTGGGGGCCTCCTGGGAGGCCTCTGGGGGCCTCCTGGGAGCCTATTGGGGACCTCATGGGCCGTCCCTCTTAGGACCCCCGTGGCGCGTCGGATGCTTTCGGAGGCCTTCTTGCAAGCCTGCCGGGCCGCCGTGGGGCCATCTTTAGGCGCTGTAGGCCGTCTTGGAAGTCTCTTGGGCCGTCAGGCCCTTGGGAGCCGTCTTCTGGGCCTCTCGGCCCGTCTTGGGGCCTTTTTCAAGGCTTCTTGCGTCGTCTTGGCGCCACCTTGGGCCGTCCTCGGCTCCAGAAAACCGAGAACGCACAGATCTGTTGAGATCCAACTGAAATCAATGATTTTGGCCATCTTCGGGCCCTCCTTGAGGACCTCTTGGAAGCCTCATGGAGGCCTCCAGGGCCGCCTGAAGGCCTCCAGGTCCGTACTGGAACCATCTTGCGTCGTCTGGGAGGCATCCTTGGCGAACCCAGAAACATCTTAGACCATCGCAGGCCGTCTTGGAGGCCATCTGGGACCCTCTTGGGCCGTCCTGGAGGCCATCCTGGACGCCTCTGCCACCTTGCAAGCATTTTGGAGCCACCGTGGACGGAAAAGCCCACCAGCTTCTGCCTGCAAGGGTGGCTGGCGGGATGAGCCGAGAGCCACTGTGAACCGGTTGGCATGACCAAAAGAATGGCCACATAGCACACCAAGCACCCCTTTGCTTGCAAAGGGGGGCTGCGGATCTTGTGGCCGTCGGCCCATCTCGCCATCGCGCCTGCATGGTGGACCAGTCCTCCTGGACGCCTCTTGGGGTCTCTTGGGATGCCTCTTGGGGACCTGTGGGAGGCCTCCTAGGGCATCTTGGACGCCTCTTGGGAGGCCTCTCGGGGGCCTCGTGGAGGCATCTTGAGAGCCTCTTGGAGACGTCATGTGGCCTCTTGGGCGCTGGCAGTCTCGGGAGCCATACTTGCACTAGACGGCTCGCTGGGCCAATTCGTGCTCCCTCCTCTCGAGCCGAAGCCACAGGCTGGTCCTCTTGAGCCGAAAAATCATGCGAGAAGCCCCAGGAACGCCACGAGGCGCACGGGGAAATCCTGGCCCCGGGCCCCACCTGCACTGCTCCTCGCAGAGAGCTCGAAGGACAACGCCGATGACCTGTCGTGCAACTGATTTACAGGAGCACAGGCCAACATTGGGCCCTGCTGGGCCATCAAATTCTAGACAAGCTTCTTACCTGTCTTCGGGTACTTGCCAGCTCGGAAGGCATTGATATCAGATCACTGCCGAAGACGGAAAGCGAAAGAGGATTCCGAGAAGGGGGAGCCGAGGACGGATTAAGGAGAAACGGCGACAGAAAAGAAGCCGGAGGAGGAGGACGGAAGACATGGGACGGAACGCGGAGGACGGACCACGGAGAACTGGGAAGGGGAACAGAAGGAAGATGGGGGGGAAGGATAGGCCGAACGACAGACGGGCTGAACAGAAATGCATCTGCCATCAGCTTGAGCGAACTTCATTTATAAAGTGGAAAGGGGGGGGGGCCAGGTGAAGTGGGGAGAAGGGCACGGGGGACGGGCAGGACGAGAGTATCGTCTTAGGCGGATGGGCTCCCTGCTGCAACAGCAGAAACTGGAGCTCCACTGAAAA